ATGATCTTCTAAACTCATAAGTTCATGAACATGCATATCAACAATTTCAAGAATCATAAATAAACCATACACAGCTTGAAATTTTGATAATAACCTTTGAAATTGGATTAGCATAATCATTACCACATCAAAAACAGGTTTTAAGGTTCAAAAAAAGAGTTTAGGGTAATGATCTTCATCCAATACCAAGCAAAACCCCGAAATTTTGCATACAGGGGCATCACCACGTCATGGTAAAAACTGCCACGTCGTGGTGAGCAGTCAGATGCAAAAAATGTAGAATTTCAACTTTTGAAAACAACATGTAGCATCAAGCTAGTATCAAGAAAACAAACCTAGTCTCTGATACCACTGAAGGGTTTTGAGCATTCTAACACTCCTATGGTGTACATGCAACCCTAGAAACCTTGTATCTATGTTTTTCTATGATACATGCAAATTTGTTTTTCCAAGGTTTATGACCTATCTAACATACATGGGGATCTTTTAAACATAAAAGTTAGTAAGAAATACATACCTTTAGTTGCTTGGATTCCTTGAGAACCTTGTGAGCATAGCACCTCAAGTGTGATGCCTCAAAATGTCTCACACAACACCAAAGCACTTGGAATAACTTAGAGAGAAATGCAAACACTCTAGAAATCGACTAGCCCTCACTTTTCTTACTTAGTGGCCGATTTTGGTCTACAACATGATGCTTATATAGTGTGTCATAATTAGGGTTACACCATGTAAACCCTAATTGACATGACTTTTCATTTCTTGGATCCATGGGTTCAAAAACACCATGGAGCCTCCATGGAGCATCTTATGGGTTTTAGTCCAACTTGATAAACCATGGATCATTAGCCCACTATACAAGAATGGATGATTTACACAATCAACCCATATATTTAATTCGTCTCGTTTTGATCACTTAATTAATTCCAAATTAATTCTTGATCAATACTAATTAAATAATATTATTAATACATTAGAACTTATAATATATTAATAAACCATAAGTGTCATTTCTCTCATTTTAGTCTACCCAAGTGCATGATGTCATGCAACCCAAATGGACCATGCTAATCGGGTCAAGTACATTCCAGAAATAGTTATAAACTTAGACAGCTAATCCAACAAAAATTTCCAACAACTCATGTGTGAGGGCCTTTTTCTAATTCAACTTTTATCTTTTTCCAAAATCGGCTTTTGACGTCAGACTAATAAAGCTGGAGTTAAGTATTGAAAAGATTCTGAATATATTTTTTGGATTTATTAAATCTCGTCGGAAAATAAGTCAGTCACATAAAACTATAAATAAAACCCTAAATTCGTCCAACATATGGTGGTAATTAGTAGGGTAATTTCAAGAAACCTTAGAGGGCAGAAAACGACAAGAAGAGACCATTTTGAGAGTGTAGAAGGTTATATCAGCCGACAGACTAATATAGATGTATAAATCTGAAGATCAAGAGAAAAAATCATTAGGTTATTAATATGTTTACTTTTTTTTTGTCTATAGTTAGTGAACTTTTTGATTTCCTATATGTTGTTATAATTTGGGATTAAACCCTTTATGATTATTTATTATTTGTGAAAACCCTAGTTTGTTTGATTGATTGATTGATATTTGACATTGAGAGTTATTCAACTTATTATGTTTGCTCAATTAAAGATCCATACGTATTGATATTGATTTTGTTATATTTATGTAACCGAGTGCATGATTTATGATTAGGTTCAGATTATGTATCTTGAATCACATTGTTTATTAACTTGTCCAATCTAGAAAACTAAGTCAAGAACGTAGACAGTGGTGACTAGTGGGAAGCTATGTCCCTAGGTTAAACATAATAAAGTTAAGATTAACATTTGTGATTGATCCAATAACTTGGACAATTTAAGAGGTTGCCACCAACCCTGAGACTGATCATACCAATTGAGTCTTTCATAATACGACATGCGGCATAATAGATTGAGTCTAGGGGAGCTATCTTTGTTGACAGCCAACTTAAAGTCATAGGAAATTAACATGGAGTTAATCAATTTAGAAATCGGTGGATAATTGACCAATATCATTTAAAGGATGTTAATTAATTAAACTATGATAGATTGAATACAAATATGATTACCTTCATATTATATTATCTATGCAGTAAGCCATGGTTGTTACATTTATTTGCTTATTTGTTGGCTACTTTATTTGAGTCACGTGTTCGCCACCTTTAGTTACCTAAGTTATGTTGTCATTGATCAGGTCCACTGCTTGATGTAGATAGTCAATTTGGTTTATTATGAATTATAAATGTAAAAGTAGATTTGTATTTGCATTTCTATATATTTTATGTCATAAGTTTTTGGCACCATTATAAGATGGAATTGTTTTCAAGTTATCTCATGTTTATAGACTATCAATTACACATCATTTACCAAGGTGACCACAAGAAAAAAAAAAGGATTGCTCACAAATATATATAATATTGTTTTTAGTTAAAGGTTGTATTGCCAATGAAGTATAAAAATAGTAGTTGGTAAGAGGTGGATCTAGGGGAGAACATATTTTTGGAATGGAACCGACAGTTCCTCGACAATGGTTGAAGTGTTTCCTCGGTGATTAAGAACACAACACATGAATTTCATTCCAATCTATCTTCTATCTTTTCTTTTCTCTCTACATGAGCAACTCTTAATCATCATTGCCATGTCTTGTTGGTTTGGTGATCTGGTATAAGCCTCGAGTCGCCTTCTCTCTCGGCCTTGATAGAGATTTGTCTCTTTCTCAAAAAAACATGATTTTATCATCAGAACATATCCCTTGGATTTTTTTTTTTTGTTGGATCTACCATTACATAGTATCAATTTGTTTTCCATCGAAACTCTTGAAATCTTCATCAGCAATTTATTTTATAGCATACAATCTTTGTAAAGAAACTTAGGTCAAATCATTAAAACTTTTTTAGCTGCCGTTTTAAAAAGAAAATCATAAAACTTTACATTCCAACCATATAGCTCTTTGTATTTCATATAGATCCCAAAAACAAAGAGTTGTACACCCATCTTCAGATTCCAAGATGGTGTCATTTCAGGGGGTTTTGATGACAGGTTTGGAGAAAAAATTGTCACAAAATATGCATGCAAGAACAAGATACCATACCCAGGGATATGTAATTTGTTCATGAAAAAAAAACAACCATTTCCCACTAGTTTGACCTGGACAAAAGAAATATGACAAGTTTGATGATAGATTTACCAAAAAAAAACACACATAAAAAAGAGGATCAAAATGAAACATCCACATGACCCCACATAGACCATAAATCCAAACACACGACTAAAGTTTAGTTTGACCCTAAGAAACCATCAGATCTGAGTCACAAAGTCTAGTTTCCATCTGATGATATGCATGCATACTACTTCAAATATATAAAAAGTTTCCAACTCAACTCAACTCAACTCAGAAGTCAGAACCTTGTCATGTACTTATTCCCAGGACCGATTATGGTAAAATCAGCTGGGTTCCTGTTCAATAAGCACACCAGGGCCCACCCCTTACCTGGCGTACCCGTAACCACCGGACCTGGATCCTTCGACCCACCAACTCCCACCACTGACCGACCCACAACAGAACACCCGGTCCCACCTCGCACGTCATACGAACCACACCTTTTCTGATTAGCCGCCAGTGCCACCTCAGCTTCAATCGCATCAGCTAGCTTTCGGGTAGCAAAGTTGTCATGTGGGTGTGGGTGTAGCTTAGCACGCTTAGTCCTAGCCTTGGGTCCACGCTTCGATGGTTTGGGTTTGGGTGCACATGTCTTCTTCTTCTTGTAGTTTCGTGAACGGTTGCTTCTAGAAGTAATTTTAACAGCCTTTCGTTTTTTTAGTAACATCCACATAGTTTCATCATCATCGGAGTCATCTTCGTCATCATAATCATCGATGGTGAAATCTTCATCAGACTCATCAGTATATTCTGTGCCAGAATGTATATTAATTTGGCATTTTGGCATGCACGATCATCAATATGTAAGAAAATTAACAAAAAAATTGTTTTTCTTGTTGGGAAAAATGTACATAAAAAGCACAATGTACTTATAGCATTTTATACATTTAGCCACTAAACTATTTAATGTAGTAATTAAACCGTTAAGCACAACGTACTTTTATAAAGAAAGAAAAAACCATTTTTCCTGGTTACCCGGTGTTGAGAAAAGGAAAAATAAAGTAAAGTGTAACATACTTTCACCACTTTACCGATTTAGCCATTTAATTGTTTTTTGTAGTGATTAAACCCTTTTGCTTTTTTTTTTAAAGATAAACATTTTTCGTTCCAAAAAAACTATAGTTCAATTGCTAAAGAGATAAAATGATGAAAATACGTTGTGTTTTTTTTCTGTAAACTGAGTAACCACAAAAAATGATTTTTTAAACAGTTAAAAAAGTTAATGGTTTAATCACTACAAAAAATAGTTAAATGACAAAATCGATTAAACAAATAATAGTTCAGTAGTGGCTAAATAGATGAAGTAATGAAAGTATGTTGTGCTTTCCTGACTGGTTAACCGAAGAAAATGGTTATTTTATATGGTAAAAAAAAAGTAATAATGGTTTAATCATTATAGAAAATAGTTACGTGGCAAAATGGATAAAATGGTGAAACTTAGTACAAGTGCTTTTCTGTCTTTTGTCCTTTTCTGATTTGCTTCAAATTCATTCCTGAATTAGAAGAGAAGGTTACCATCGTCCGTATCAGCAAAATGTAGAGTGGATTCGATATCCGGGCCCGGGAGATCCCTCATTAATTCAGACAAATCACGACATTTTGTTTTTTTGGTTGGCTTTGAAGTCTTTCCTGAATTAGCATCATCATCATCATCATCATCACTAATCACCACAATTTCAGTTTTCCTACCTCCATATCCTTTCACAATTTCTTCATTTTCAGATTCAGATAAATTCACCAAATCTGTGCCTCCATCACTCATATCTTCGTCCATACCATCATTCAGGTCTTTAGAAGTAATAATCTCTGCATAAAAACAACTTATTACCAAAATTCAAAGGACTTGTACACACTAAAAATAGCATGATACTATCTTTTCTTTCTGTTACATTATTGAACCTTCAAAAAAATATTAAGACATTGTACTTTTAGAAAATTTACCCAATTATAGCACTGCAATTTCATTGTACTTTTAGGATGAAATGAAAGTACGATGCTATAGCAAATAAAGTAGTGAAAGTATATTGCTATTTTTTGCATTTAATCAAAAAGAGTAACAATATGTACCCGTAGCAGTGTCGGATTCATTGCCAGTCTCGATTCCCTTAGTCCATTCAAGTTCAAATGCTGTCAAGAAATCGAACAATCTTTATCAGCAATCAATGAAATATAAAATGAGAAAAGATGAATCAACAACACAAAAGTTCAAATATTTACCTACATTCATTGTTGTAGCCAAAATTCTTATTACAAAATTAGAAAAACAAAACCGTTTGGTTCACTTTTAGATCATGCAACAAAGAACATTTTATATAACTGCCCGAATCAGATTCCATATTGAGCATCTATTTATTAGAAATTGTACCTGAAGCATTTTCAGATTGAGTCGTCTTTCCCTTGGGTATTTCAAGTTCAAATTCTGTAAAAAAATTGGGTGGAATCTTGTTATCAGTATCGGATTACATATACAATCAATATTTATAACAAAATGCTCCTTTTAAGAAGCTACTTACATTCATTGTTGTTGACAAACTTCTTGTTATATAATTTAAAGAAGGGGAAAATACAGAAAAACACTTGTGCTTTAACCAGTTAACTATTTTCTTAGTGATTGAACCATTATACTTTTTTGAACACTTGTGCTTTAACCATTTTATCAATTTAACCAGTTAACTATTTTCTTAGTGATTGAACCATTATACTTTTTTGAACATTCGTAAAATATTTTTTGAACAAAACATAAGTTGAATCTAATTGTTAAAATTAGTACCTGTAGCAGTCTCCAACTGAGTCTTGTTTCCCTTAGAAATCTCTAGTAATGCTGTCAAAAATCCAAGAAAGAATATTGTCATTAGAATCAAACAAGCTATGTGATCAATGTATTAAGAGTTATTCTTGGAGGGAAATGATAAATAAATGACATACTAGTTCAATAATATACCTACACTCATAGTCGTTTCCAAAATTCTTATTACATAATTCAAAAACAGTGATGTCTAGAGAATATGCATTTAAAAAATATTTGAGATAATGGAACAAGAATAAATGAGGGCAGACTTATAATTCATCAAAATACATACCCATAGCAGTTGCAATTTCAGATTCAGTGTTGTTTTCCTTGGTCCATTCAAGTTCAAATGCTGTCAAGAAATCCAACAAACTTTTAATCAGCATCAAATGATATATATGACCATTGTTTTAAGGTCATTGCAAAAACTCTTATTATAGATTAAGAAAAAAAAAAGTTCTGTTTTAGTTCATGGAACAAAGAATATCCGAAATCTTTGTTAGAATTCGTACATGTCTAATACAAATTCAAAGTGCTAAATGCACAAATTTGCAACAAAGTTTCCCCTTTTTCCCAATTTATGCAACAAACTGTTTTTTTAAACTAAATGTGGATCCACTTTTCATTTTAGGACCAAATTATGCAACATTGTAACCGGTTACCTCATGATGTGGCACCAGTTAAATGCTTGTTTACACAACAATGTTTCACATTATTACCAAATTATGCAACAATGTTTTACCTTTTTACCATTTTATGCAACTAACACAATATGCAATGATAATTCTAGTGACTATACAAGTTACTCATAAAATATTGCATCTTTTGGTCCGAAAATGAAACATCGTTGAATATTTCATATAGAAAACCACTTTTTTGCATTAATTGAGAAAAAAGTAAATCACTGTAGCACAAATGTGTATTTAACAAAGACTAAATCAGGTTCCATATGTGACATTTCTTCATTAGAAACTAGTTGTGAGACCCATGTATTACATGAGTTAATTTAAAAAAAAAAAAAAAAGTTAAATATAAAGGTCAAAATATTTGAGAACTTTGAATTTATAAGAAAATAAGAAAAATAATGAATTATTATAATTGAAATGTTTTTTATCTTTTAAATTTAAACAAATAATTTAAATCAATAAACAAAAGAAACTAATGAACTTTAATTTGGGAAATTTGAAGTTAAAAGGTAAGTTCATTAATGAAATTGATATCCATTTATTATTACATTTATTGTAATTATTACATTGAAATATTATGTTGAATTTAATAAAATAGAAAAACTCATAAAATGAAATGTGGAAAAAAAAAATTCAAAATAACCACCAAATGACATTTGGCAAATTGAATCAGAATGTGACATGTGGCAAAAAAAAACCTTCATTTATTAGAGTAGATGTACCTGTAACAGTTTCAGATCCAGCCTCATTGTTTTTGGAAACTTCGACTTCAAATGCTGTCAATAGACCAGAAAAAAAAAAACACTACTCATCAGTATCAAATGACATATTTGATCACATCATGATCGATTGTCACAACACTTGAGATAATGGAATGAAAAAATAAATGAGGGCAAGTTTGTAAAAAAGTAAGGACTTAATGGAGAAGCCTCATTTTCCTGACTTTCTCTGTTAAGTCGTTCTTTCTGCCTTAAGTCAGCAAGAAACATTCATATATAGCTTATCAGATTAAGTCTTGCCCCCATTAACTCAAAAAGAAACAGAACCTTAGGTTGGTTGTATTGTATATTGAAAACAAATTGGTTTGGTCCATTTTATATTTAGAACTTAGAATTCAGAAAATCCCTACACATATACCTGTTGGAGCTTCAAATTCAACAACCTCTTTACCCTTGGAATTTTGAGCTTTGGGTACTGTGAAAAAAAAAAGGACAGGAAGACTGCATATCAGCATGGAGACATAAATACAATCAATACATCAAGTTCTACATAGAATTTAGTTTGTCACTTACATTCAGAAGCATTAGTATCTTGTGTAACTTTTAGATTACTCAAGGATAATGTTTCAGGAGCCACGTCTTGAGTATTGAGATCCTTGAACTCACAAATTGATCCAAAGGGCCAACATGTTGTGGGATCTCTTTCACGAACGGCAGCAACATACTCCCTGAATTTCCTCAATTAATTAGCAAATCTTAAAAAAAAATATTCCAAATTTTGGGTTTCTGTAGGCATAGATAAAGAATTGCAATTCGTTTACATGCTTTTATTTATTTATTTTTGAATGGAATGCCATCCCAATGTTGAAGACTGTAGGATTCGAACCTAGGACCTCTCCATTTTGGGGAGTTTAAATCCCAGATGATCACCACTAAACCACCTTTGTTAGTTTACATGCTTTTATTTACCTTATAAAAAAAGTCACACAAGATGTACATATAAATCCAAATAGACCCCAAATCACTATTCACATGATATGCATGAAGGGCTCTAAAACCATTTGTAATAGAAATCCGACCTAATAACATTAAAATCAACTAAAAATTATGATGAGAAGTTGGTAGTAGTCCATTATTACAGACTTAGAAAGTTGGATCAATGAAATCATATCTAGTTCATGATCCAAATTAGGCTACATATCCAACCCCCCAACATGATTTGAGGTAGTCACATATCTTCAAGCTCGGGTCAAAGGACATTTAAGAAAAGTGCAATTAGAAACTAAATCAACAGATATCAATGAACAAATGCTTTAAAATGCTAATTCCAAACTTCAAATCCAAACATACCGAATGCAGAAATTCTTGAATCCACTTGTTTGGCAATTTGATTCGTTGTTGAAAACGAATCCCGCGGGAAGCATGTTAATCGACATGGATTTTCCTCAATCACTAGAAACTTGAAAACCCTAGAATTCAATCGAGCCAAAAATTGAGATTAGTCACACATATCAACAAATCCATGTGCATTGCAATCACAACAACTTGCAAAAACATGAAATCATCATAACCAACTACATTACAAAAAAAAATGGAAAAAAGTAATTGTATTGAACTTAAGAAGAGGTTGATTCTTGCATTCACAACCCTTCCTACATAAACCTTTTTTGATCAACCTTCCATTCTTGTCAACTACATAGATTGATTAAAGATGCAAAGATCAAGTGAAATTATGAAGTTAAAGAAATGAAGAGACAAACACACTTTGCAGCCGCCTGCGGTGTACTATCAAACCCTAGATCGCGAGATAGAGATGAAATCCTAAAGATCTGAACTTGCCTTTTCTTCCAACAAAGATTTCAAGGTGTATATATAATCAAATCATCAATGTGGATCGGTGGAAGGTTGAGATGAAAAAAGCATGCATAGATATTATTGGTTCTATTGATGAAAAAGGGCTCTTGCTGAGGTAGGCTATTTGGTATATAAAGAAAATCGTGTTTGCACGGAAAACCTAGTTCACAAAATGCTAATGTAACAAGGGCGTTCCGTGCACGTAAATGACGGACATATGAAATGACATTTTAAGCAATTATAAAAAGGTGAAAAGTGCAAAATTTACACCATTTTGTGGATTTGAGAAACAAATACAATGTGTTTACTACTTTGCTTAGGTACTAATAGTTACCACACAAAGGAAAGATAAATGAAACCGTCTAATAATTTACACCATTTTGTGGATTTGAAAAACAAATACAATGTGTTTACTACTTAGCGTATGTACTAATAGTTACCACACAAAGGAAAGATAAATGAAACCATTTGCATATATTCATGAGATACAAAATGAAACACACTAAAGTAACTTTACCTTCAAGTATATTACTATGAATCTATGATGAACATGATCTTTGGTTTTGTATTATTGTATCATTTTGATTTTGAGCTAGTTTTGTATGTGCATATGGTGCATTATGTAGTATACCTTTTGCCTTTAGCCTTTAGCATTTCAATTTCACAAAACCACAATCATATGCATCTTAATAATGAATAATCTAAAGTTTGTTTCGGGAGAATAGCTCTTTCACCCAAATTAACAAGGCTACAAGGAAATATGTGTATATGGGTATGGTATCCAAGAAATTGAAATGCTAAAGGCAAAAGGCAAAAGGTATACTACATAATCCACACCATATGCACATACAAAACTGGCTCAAAGTCAAATTGATACAATAATACAAAACCAAAGATCATGTTCATTATAGTAATATAAATGAATAACAGAAGAAGCAGTATAAAAGATGTGAAAAAACAATAACCCACCTCATGTGTTCGATTTTGGTTGAATCTGTGGAAGGGTTTTGTGAAGAATCAAAAGTAATACAAAACCCTTGAAGTGTTTTCATGTTTGCATTAGAAATCTGTTCAGATTTTGGAATCTTGTGGACGAGATTTGATGATGGGTAAGAGGAAATTGTGTAAATGTGGAGAGAGAAACCCTAAACTATTTAGTAAGAGAGATAGAGGATTTGCTTGAAATGTAGAGACGAAGAACTCACAAATCAACGTCCATTTTTCACCGACTAATGTTTCCCTCCTCGAACAATCATATTCTAACTTCGACTTTGTCTTTATAAAAATTAAAAAGTTAACTGGTAAAATATGAGTGCTTATTGGATAAAAACAAGGGAAAATTAGTAATTTTGGATTTGAATTTATGTTGTAATTTAGTCTTGTCTTTTGTAATAATCTATCATTCTATTGTCTTTTGGATCTTGTTAGATTCTTAAAA